GTATATATATATATATATCTATCTCATTTAACCATGTTAGTGTTTCTGCCCTCCATGAATGCCCTGTTTCCTACCCTCCATGAATGCTTGTGTGATTAAACTTTTTTTTTTTTTTTCTGGTTGAAGCTGTGCTGAAAGATGTCGCAAAATGGTTGGATCATGCTTGCATGTCTGTCTGTTTGTCTAATTTTATGACCAGCCTTGGTGGTGGACTACAATCATGATCTGTAGTGGAAGTGCAGTGGTCCTCTGAGCATGTTTCTATATTCACATATTTTAATGTTTTCCAGTGCTGAAGGAAGCCACGTATCTGGTCAAAGCAATGGTCGGGACCCACAAGCCCTTGCCAAGGCGGTGCAAATTCACCAGGATACCTTACGTACCATGTACTTCGCATGAGAGTGACCCCAAACATGCGCAGGTTTGACTTACTGCAAGGAACCTGAAGGATCACATGTGGGTTTTCAGGGCCCAGTGGGGTGGTTCACTTTCTCACAGACATCTCCCGACCTCCCGTCTCTCCCCAGCATTTTCTTCTGGCTTGCACTGAAGCCCAGGCGCAATGATTGAGGGGCGGGCTAGTCCTGGGAATAGAAGATCATTGAGGAACACAGCACTATTATGCAATATGAAACCAGCCAACTGCTAGATTGTTGTAATGGAGCCTCCACATGGATGCACTGCTTATGTTTTGTGTTACTTTTACTTTCCAATATTTAACCCTTTTATGCCTTTACCTCAAATTGCTCTGCAGCACTGGCTGTCTTTGCAAAAAAAAAAAAGAATTATGGAAAAAAAAAACGCATAAAAAGATGAAAGCAAACTATAGGGGTACGTGAGAGTATGTCTGAATATCTGTACAGGCAGGGGCTTTCTATGGGCAGCGAAGGTATAATACTGTGTATTTGAGATACAGCAGTATGGCCTAACTTGCTGTATTTCTTTGATTGCTTTTAATATAGTACTCATCTTGTAGCAGGAAGTGATTTATGAGAAGACTAATATCTGTTTCTATGTAACCTCTGTGCCCCTTTTGGTGGTATTGGAGTGATTTTAACACTCCAGTTGTACAGGGGTAACCGCCTCTCTTGTGCCCAGGTATTTAGTATCTGTATACACAAATGTATGTGTATACATATATGTGTCTGTGAATGAAAGTGAACATTAGAGCTAAAATACCAGGATGTTGTGCAAAAAAATGGGGTTTATATTTGTGGCACAGCTGTCTCAGCCCCCCCCCCCCTTACTTTTGTTTGAAATTAGTTTTTTTCGTTTAAAAAAAAAAAAATCTCTCAGTACTCCCTGCTCTTTCTTTTCTCATAATCACATAGCAAGATCCAAGTTGGTAATGAGAATTTTGTGTGTGCCTAGTTAGGCCATACAACTGCCTAAGTAATCTAGGGCACCTGCAAGGATGGTTGTAATCTGACACAAGTGAGGCCACCACTGCCTGACTCCTAGAAGCTCGGCAAGCTCTGGGCAAGCCACCGTAAAGATACTGAGGCGTGCTCTGCCCTGGATCTAAGCCCAATTCTGGGGGTTAGGAAGTGACTGCTTTTCAGTGCTGGATGGGAATTTTAGTAGTACCAGATACCTGCCTTGACAGGGCATTTATCACCTGTATGGTGGCAGGAGTCTAGTTAGATTTATTATAGCCAAAGCTAGCACATATATTTTTCTATGGTGTTTAGTCTAGAGACTAGCATAGCTACTCAAAAGACCTGTATTTAATAACATTTTGCAAAGAGCACTGATGTTCAAGTACCCATAGCAATCATACTCTGGCTGTGTAATGAAGAAAGGAAACTTGTGCTGGCTGGTTGCTGTGGGTCTCTGTATGTATTTTAACAAAAATATTCTTAAAGGGTCATCACATCGAAAACGATTTCAGATTTGGGTAGTTGCTGACAAGGTTAAAATAGCCACTAGCTTAGTTTACCCATTTTGTGCTCATGTGGTGAGATCGGTCCTTAATTCCAAGGTAGAACCACCTGTCTTGTCCACTGCAAACTAGATTATTACACTAGATCTATTTGATACATTACAAGGAATGAAGTAGGAGGAGTAGTGAAATTCCTTAGATCAGTGCTCCCCAACCTTTTTTATCGCCGCGGACCGGTCAACGTTTAATAATTTTACCGTGGCCCGCTGAGGGGGGGGCACGTTGATTGTTTATACTTTAGATTGTTTTGATTTAATAATTTTAATTTAATTGTATTTAAAAATGCCTTCAAAATAAAATACAGTTACACCAAAAAATGAAAGCGTTGGAATTCTTCACCTATTCCACCACCGAAAAACTGGGCGAGATTACGTTAAAATGTGTGACCACGTCACTGGTCACACATTCTAACGTAGTCTCAAACTTTGATAGATCACATGCCTACCTGTAATCATTTAATCATTAGATGACCGAGGCAATTTTTTTGAATTAGAAATCTCGCTGGTGGGGTATTGAGGGATAACAGTGAGTGATGCAGTTCACCAGTGCCTACCCATAAGCAAAGCATCTAGTTTTGGATGGACTCATTATGTAAAGTTTTAAGTTCACTTTTGCCCTAGTTAGCTTCTCTTATCCTCCCACATTCTTCTCATCCTAGCTCGTCATAACAATCATACCTCATAAGCGGACATGCTGCCCATCCTGCTCAGAGAAACAGCTTGTTCTGTGATTCCTGCAAGTATACACGTTAGAGAGTTTATGTGGGACCTGTCTCTGATTGGTTAAGCACAGTGTCTATATGTGAGTTATGAATTTTTAGCTATCTAGAATAACTGCACTTACAATTTAAATAGGAGTTACATTCATTGTTTTGCCTTTCTTCAAGGTCACAAGAAATAGCTCAAATATCCTTTTATCACTCCTACATCCCAATCTCTGCTCATGATTCTAGTACCAAAATGGTCTGATCAAATCTATGAATCACATTAGTCTGTATGCTGCAAGTTTCCCCACCTTTGCACTCCAGGGGGACTAGATGATTTTGCACCCTACTGAATCAAGTAGGAATCTGCTACATTGAGGTGGGGAAATGAACATTTTTGATCTATGTAATATACTCATTTTCATGAAAGTTATGCTTTTCTAGTACTTTATTTTTTTTAATATTTATTAGTCATGACACTAATTTAATTGTTTCAGAACATATTCTGTTTAACCATTTTTTAAAATCTTTAAATAGAATTAACTGTGTGTCCGTGTAGCTGACAGATTTATGTTTTATTTTCCTCTCTTTTTAGTGCAATAAGCATAAATGAATTTAAACCCGTTAATGCCAAAGATGCCTGCAGAGCATTGCCGGCCCCTCTGGCTAGTTTGGGTTTAACCATAAGTAAAAGCCTTAATTTTGAAAGGAAGGTGTCAAAATAAGCAACTTTAGAACACTGAAACTTCTTAAAAGGTGTCGTGTCTACCCTGAAATATTGCGGAGGGATTGTGTTCCTATAAGTGAAATTTTACAATGATTGGTACCTAATGCTTTACACACCTGACGCAAAGGTTTTATTATTTTTTATTTGGACCAATAGGCTTTCCTTACTGCATTGTGTGCTAAAGTGTTCTCGTTTGTGAAGGGCATTGTTTGTGTTACATCCAGTATAGAACCTGAAAGTTTATTTAACCACATGGTGCAAACAAGATAAACTGCAATTCATATCAGTCATTTAGTATGATTCATTATGCCCACACGCCTGGAGCTTTGGCAGAGCCAAATGTCTGTGTGGGTACTGTAAGGCTTCCAACCTTAATCATTATCCAACAGGGAATATTTACATGAACCTTTTACAAATTGTTTGATCATCAGTCTCATATCCTAAATGATCTGCATTTATTGCTAAAATTTTCAATGTTGGAATATGCCGACCAGACCCTTAAATGGCCATATCTGCCTCTCCCTAGGCATCTCAATCAAATCTAATCTGTTGTTCTTCTGTGCTACCTTTCAATTATATAATTTGCATCATGTCACTTATATGAACCTTCTGGTGATAATTCAGTAATTTGTTTTTTTTCGGGACCAATGATCTGACTAGTACCGAAAGACTGTTTATCCGGTTAAAGTAAAAATATTGAATATTGTTACAGGTTAAAAAAAAAGTGATTTTGTATGTTCATCCACCTCTGTTGTGTACTAATCTGACATGTAAAGTATTTGACAATTTGTAGGCTTCGTTCAATGGACATGGTGTAGTTGGCTTGCATATCTGCTTTTAATGACACATGTGCATTGGATATACAGGTTGGTTTTATGGGCTATATTTGCAGGTGCAGCAGGTTCCTAAAGAGGTAATGTTTTCAGACAATAATTGTTCAAAATTATTTTCCTTTTGAGTAAATTTATGGATTTAAAGTAAAAAGCAATAGATATTTTTTTATTTATACATTTTCTGTGCTATATTACGACCAAATAAAAATTTTTTTGGTAATTTATTAAATGGTAACATTTGGTATGCCTAAAACCTGAAGTTTTTTTTTTTCGTTTTCTTTTTTTGTCCAATGCTGACCTTACCGAAAATAATTTATATAGCCCTCCTGTCTTTGGCTTTTTCTCTCTCTCAAATGCTACTTTAATAAGGGCAGCACACAGGCTGTATGTTTTGAAAGCTACTTGTTTGCTGCTTTTTGGAATGGTGTGAGTCTTGGTGGATGTAAATAATGTTTTACTGCTTCAAGGGAGAAAACCAGTCTACAGGTTTGAGTTGACATCTGTATGTAAACACAAGTGACATCAATGATAAGTCCTTTCTATCCTCTGGAGTCCTGAAGCTCTTTCTATCCTCTGGAGTCCTGAAGCTCTTTCTATCCTCTGGAGTCCTGAAGCTCTTTCTATCCTCTGGAGTCCTGAAGCTCTTTCTATCCTCTGGAGTCCTGAAGCTCTTTCTATCCTCTGGAGTCCTGAAGCTCTTTCTATCCTCTGGAGTCCTGAAGCTCTTTCTATCCTCTGGAGTCCTGAAGCTCTTTCTATCCTCTGGAGTCCTGAAGCTCTTTCTATCCTCTGGAGTCCTGAAGCTCTTTCTATCCTCTGGAGTCCTGAAGCTCTTTCTATCCTCTGGAGTCCTGAAGCTCTTTCTATCCTCTGGAGTCCTGAAGCTCTTTCTATCCTCTGGAGTCCTGAAGCTCTTTCTATCCTCTGGAGTCCTGAAGCTCTTTCTATCCTCTGGAGTCCTGAAGCTCTTTCTATCCTCTGGAGTCCTGAAGCTCTTTCTATCCTCTGGAGTCCTGAAGCTCTTTCTATCCTCTGGAGTCCTGAAGCTCTTTCTATCCTCTGGAGTCCTGAAGCTCTTTCTATCCTCTGGAGTCCTGAAGCTCTTTCTATCCTCTGGAGTCCTGAAGCTCTTTCTATCCTCTGGAGTCCTGAAGCTCTTTCTATCCTCTGGAGTCCTGAAGCTCTTTCTATCCTCTGGAGTCCTGAAGCTCTTTCTATCCTCTGGAGTCCTGAAGCTCTTTCTATCCTCTGGAGTCCTGAAGCTCTTTCTATCCTCTGGAGTCCTGAAGCTCTTTCTATCCTCTGGAGTCCTGAAGCTCTTTCTATCCTCTGGAGTCCTGAAGCTCTTTCTATCCTCTGGAGTCCTGAAGCTCTTTCTATCCTCTGGAGTCCTGAAGCTCTTTCTATCCTCTGGAGTCCTGAAGCTCTTTCTATCCTCTGGAGTCCTGAAGCTCTTTCTATCCTCTGGAGTCCTGAAGCTCTTTCTATCCTCTGGAGTCCTGAAGCTCTTTCTATCCTCTGGAGTCCTGAAGCTCTTTCTATCCTCTGGAGTCCTGAAGCTCTTTCTATCCTCTGGA